GACACAAATCCAGGTCTCCTGACTCAGAGGCATGGAAACTACCACTGTGCCACAAGAGCCCCTGGAGGTATTGTAACACTACCAGGATGATTATTGGAATTTGTGTTCTCCCTAATTTAATTAATGGAGCCTTCCAAAATTATAACCAAGTTGTAGCCACAACTAGCTTGCACATGTTTGGTGGGGGTGGGGTGGAGTGGAGAGTCTAGTTTACAAGATAGGTACTGTGCTAGTTTCCAAATTATCCTCCAAATAAATCCCAGTGTGGATTGTATGCAGGACACTGCTGTGTGTTACACCCATTCTTCCCCTGAAAAATGGGCGCAACGAAACTCCAATTTCTACCCCCGTGTCTGATTGCCTGGCAGCATGATGTCTAGGCCAGATCACTCAAAACATTAATTGATACAATTGCTGTGTCTGGAACACAAGCTCAGACCTGCCATCCCTCCCTCTCTCTTATTTGAAAATATGCAGCCTCTTTCTCCATGCCTCATTCTTTGGAAAAGAGTCTAAACGCCTTGGAGCTTTTAACTCTTAAACATGTACTTAACAAACCTCCTTCCCCTGTACGACAGCTAATTGTGTTTAGCAATGGGAGTACACTTCTATTTAATGTGAGAACTTAATATCCTAAAACTAACACTTTGTGCTTAATTTTCTGAACAAGATGTGAAAATGGAAAGCTGACATGCTGTGCACACTTGTCAGTTCCCAAATTGTTTCAGTACTCTTAACATAAAATAAACCATGTAATCACTCTCCCAGACATGATTGCTGTTTCACTGGATGGAGTTAAGAGGATTTGGAATCCACATTTGTCAATTAACATTTAAGTTTCCCTTAATTCTTTTCGCTGATTCAGTAACGTGTTGAGTCAAAGTGGCTGGCATCATTTCTGAATCTGACTTATACCCGAGTTCTAGACTGACACCGGACCAATCAGCAAGTTGAGGGAGACTGAATATTTGGTTCAGGAAGCAACATATAATAGTGGAGAAGGATTGAACCACTTTCCAATCAATTTTATCACCATCGCCCTCCTGTGGAATCTATCTCAGGGATGTTCCTCAGCCTCTCATCGAAGGAACCATTCCATCCGCGTCCATCAAGATGGTGAATGGCCGGGAGGCTGTTTGACTACTGGTAGCATCGTAGCTCCGTCTGTTGTGCAGCAGCTATTTTTGAATTGGGAGGGACACTTGGTAGTACCCATCCCTCTGAGCTGGGAGGCCTGGATTCAAGTCCCATCTGCTCCAGAGCTGTGTCATAATATCTCTGAACAGGTTGATTGGAAAATATCTATTTTTCAGCTGGGTCTATTGCCCAAGACTTGAGCAGCAGAGAATAAAAACCTATTTACATTCCTAGAGATAGTAAGAACTGCAGATGCTGGAGTCAGAGATAACACAGTGTGGAGCTGGAGGAACGCAGCAGGACGGGCAGCATCAGAGGAGCAGGGAAGTTGATGTTTCTGGTTGGGACCCTTCTTCAGAAATGGGGAGGGGGCAGGGAGCTCAGATAAATAGAGACAGGAGGGGAACAGCACCTCATATTCCGCCTCAGGAGCCTATAGCCCAATGTCCTAAATGTGGATTTTACCAGTTTCAAAATCTCCCCATCTCCGGCCTCATCCCATGACCAACCCTCCCTTTCATCCTTGCCTCCTTGACCTGACACAACCTGTCTATCTTCTCTCCCACCTATCCATCCCTCCCCTCACTGACCAATCCCCACCGCTCCCTACCTGCACCATCCCACCTACCTTCCCTGACCCTACCCCTCCTTTCTCTATTTATTTCTGAGCTCCCTTTCCCCTCCCCCATTTCTGAAGAAGGCTCCCGACCTGAAACATCAACTTTCCTGCTCCTCTGATGCTGCCTGGACTGCTGTGTTCCTCTATTTACATTCCCCTTCCTTGGGCTCTGGCTGTGCTGAAGCCAGTGATTGCAATCTATGTGGTCTAGCTATGGAAACACTCTCATTAGTTTCTAATGCACAATAGTAAACCACAATATCTTCTTTCTCTCTCTCCCTTTTCCTTTAACACTCTTTAATATCTAAATCGATTGAGTTTCTGGTTCCCTGTGTGACGATGGAATGGCTTTAAGAGGTATATTTTGTCTTGGTTTCTTTTAGAGATTGGGGGACAGATACTGAGCAGTCTATGAGAAAATAAACAACTTGTGAGGCCTTGTGTGTTTTTTTGAAATCTGGAACAATAGAAGCAGTCTGAATGCAGTGTAGTCAAGCTCCCACGCAGAGAACCAGGGATTTTTAGGTTTTAGTTTTCACCAGCAGTTGCTGTTGGGGTCTTGAATTGAAAGCTATTTTTCCCTCTCTCATTTACAGCCCAAAGCTGGTGGTTCTCTTCCTGGGCCGTAGGATTGCATGTTAGTCAAACCTGTTTTCTGAATTTACCTTTGCCAAGGCTGTTTATGGAATGTTACTACGTTGGAGCAGTTAATTAGTAATAGTTATTGGGTCGACTATTCTGTTAAGTTTTCCAATAGTGTTAAGTTATTTCCAAGTTTTTTTTTTGTTGTATTTTAACTATAGTGTTTCAATAAATTGTGTTTTGCTTAATGTTGAGTAGTTTGATCAATCAAATTGCATCCAGAACACAGCATCTTACACTTACCTTTAAAATAATGAAATGTTACAGTCTAGATTACCTTCTTAATATATTTTGAGGGAGTCAGGTCTGTACAACTATCTCCTTACATGGCTCAGTCATCGAATCTCAAATCATCCAAATAGGATGCTTTCTATGGTTTATCTACAAAAACTACTAAGAGTTCTTGTGGACATGCCAAATTTCCTTAGCCTCCTAAGGAAGTAGAGATATTGCTGTACTTTCTTGACTGTCGCATCGACGTGGGTGGACCAGGACAGATTGTTGGTGATCATTACTCTCAGGAACTTGATGCTTTCGACCACTTCAACCTCAGCACCATTGATGTAGACAGGGTCATGCCCTCCACTCCGTTTTCCAAAGTTAATGACCAGTTTTTTTTTCATTTTGCTGATTTGATGGAGAGACTGTTGTCTTTACACCATGTCATTAAGCACTCAGTCTCTTTCCTGTATTTTATCTTGTCATTTGAGATTTGACCTACAATGGTGGTGATGACCGCATACTTGTAACTAGAGTTGGGGCGAAATTTGGCCACACAGTTATAAATCTGTAAGGAGTACAATAAGGGGCTGAGTGTACAGCCTTGCAGGGCACCGGTGTTGTGGATTATTGTGGAGAAGGTGTTATCGCCTGCTCTTACTGTTAGCAGTCTATGGGTCAGGAAGTTGTGGATCCAGTTACAGAGAGGGGAGCTGATATCTAAGTTTCGGACTTTACAGATGAGTTTTTTTGGAATTATGGTGTTGAAGGCGGAGCTGTAGTCAATAAGTAGGAGCCTGATCTAGGTATCCTTTTTATTTAGAATTTCCAAAATGAGTATAGGGCCAGAGAGATGGCATCTGCTGTGGACCTGTTGTGCTACTAGGCAAATTGCAAAGGATTAAGGCAATTTTTGGTAGGTTGCAGTTGATCTGAACCATGACTAACCCCTTGAAACACTTCATAATTATGGAGGTCAGAACCACTGGCTGGTAGTCATTGAGGCATGCTGGATGGTTTTTCTTTGGCACCAGGATGATGATGGTCTTCTTTGTGAATACTGACATACACTCTTGGAGATCACCTGTATATACTGACACACTCCCTTGGAGGTCCCCTGATGAATATTGATACAATCCACAGGGGGAACCCATTGTGAATACTGACATTCCAGGGAATTATCCTGTGAATACTCACACACTCCCCTTAGGACACTCCTCTGAATACTGACACACTCTCCTCCAGAGAATCCCGCTTGCAAATACTGAGACACACCTCTGTGGATCCCCTTGTAAGTATTGACACACACCCTTTGCAAATGACACAACGCTTGAGGTCTCCCTGTAAAAACTGACATACTCCCCTTGGGATTCCCCTGTAAATACAGACACACTACCCTTGGGATCCCCCTGTAAATACTGACACACTCCCCTTGGGATCCCCCGTAAATACTGACACACTCCCCTTGGGATCCCCCTGTAAATACTGACACACTTCCCCTGGGATCACCCTGTAAATACTGTCACTATCCCCTGGGGATTCCCCTATAAATACTGACACTCTCCAAAGAGAGATCTCTTTTGCAGCACTGGATACACTCATTGCACAACACCTTGCGCAGCCCGTGGTTGCTAGGTAACCGATGCATTGTTGGCAACGGTGATGTGCGGGGCTTGGGGGCGTGACCGATGCGATGACGAAGGGGCGTAACGAGCCGCAATTTAAAGATTACGCACGCGCGGGGGTTGGTGGGGTTTAAAGGAAAGCTTTTCTTTAAATAAAGCTTGGGATCGACCTTAAATCCTTGGAGAAAATCCAATGGGAATGAGATTCCGCGATTTTATTGTAAAATTCGGGCACTCGCTGATTGTTCTGAGGGGCGGAGGGGGAAAAAGTTATGACTATCTCCCCGTCGACGCTTATCACAGTGACGATTGTTTTGCCTTTGTGGGCCAAGGGAGCTTTTACCCGATGAGGAAAAATTGAATACTCACTTTCCACCTCTACACCCCCCCACCCCAAACACATCCCGCCTCCCCTGTCCCTTCGGCTTTCCCTCGTTGCCAAGGAAAGAGTGCGCATGCGTTTGTTGGGGGCCCGCTGGGAGTTGTAGTTCTGCTGCGGTGGGATAGAGCGGCGCTTGGATAGTAGGTGCACTACAACTCCCAGTGTCCGCTACACCCCAAAAAGGGGGCGGGGCGGTTACCTTTGGAGCCGTTGTGGCCCCACGCCGGTGCAGAGCGCCGTTGGCTTGCATGCATGCCGGGAGTTGTAGTTTCACACTTCCACAACGTTCTCCGTCTTTCTATTCACTGGTCCGGAGGGGTAGAGACTACAAATCCCGACATGCTGTTCGGGCCCGGGTGCGACGTCGGCTTTAGGGGTGGAGCCGTCGAGCAAGAGCACTCAGTTGGAAGTGAAAGGAGTGACATTCGCGAAGGAGGCGGTCTGTTGCCGAGGTAAGGGTCGGAGATCCGTAAATGTGTGCGGAGGAAAGAACGAGGAGAAAGGAGGAGGAGGGGGAGTAGAGAAACTTTCTCTCGTTGTGTTTACGGTTTGGCGGCGTGGCCTAAAGGAGAGGAGTGGGTTTGGGGCCCTCGGTGGGGATCGGCTTCTTTGGTCCCTGGGGTTCTGGTCGTTGTCGCCTCGGCTGGTGATAGACAGGCGAAGGTAAGAAGGCAAGAAGGCAAGCCCTCAACACCAGCCAGGATCTCCCTGCAAACTCTCCCCCTCGCCCCACAGATAACCTTGCAGTAATCTTAATGCAAGACGGAAAAGGAGTCGTCGCCCCGGCTCTTTATGTTTAAAAGCAAAACTTTAATTTCTAATGAATACGACAGCTCATGTAAAGAAAATGATTTCGACTCTTGCCCATTTATAAAGTTCGTTCTGTTCCGTGACCGCAGTCGCTTGTAACACCGCTTAGCTTCCCTGGAAGGTAACGTGCCTTTTAAAATGTTGAAGCGGTTTAATTTGCTGGAAATCGTCGTTTTTTTTGTGATTAAATGCATAAAGCATTTTTGGTGCCGTCAGACGGGTTCCAAAAGATATCGGTAGTGAGGTGGTGTCAAGTGAGTGGGACGAGACCGATATCAAACGTGTTACCTAATTGTAGAGGAAGTAATTAGGCTTTTTTTTGTTGCTCCTCGCAAGTTAGAGATGCCAGTTATAGATCCAGTGTTTACATGCAGTGATAAAATTTGAAGAGGGTAGATTGTTGTTAGAATCAATAAATTGACTTTTCCTTAAGCTTTCAAACACTATACTCCTTGGATGGATACTGACTGATATTCTTAAACCATTCGCGCGGTAAAGGAGCATTGCAACGCATCGAATGCTGGCAATGTTTTCTAGTTAAACTAAAAAAAATATTAATTTGGATGCGTTTTTTGTTAAGAGAATAGCTCTAGCAGGACTTTTAATACTGACAGTTTTAATAGTGATTTAAGTTTTTTTTTAGAAAGGTAAAACGGACGCTGAAGAGCAAAAGTTTAGAATTAGCCCTGGTTGGATAAACCGAAGATAATGCCGTTATTGCATTTCGGGTAGTGGACTTGGTTTCATATTTCTTTGAAGCAGTCTTGGATTTATTTTCACGACTCGGCTGAGGTAATCGGTAATGTCACCTTTCCCCAGTGTTATAGTGTTGCAAAGATTTTATTCATGATCAAATAAATCAACTGGCTTTAGAAATAACTTCGAAAGCTAGAATATTTCAGGGTGCATTAATCGCGGGGGGAAATGTTTGTTTAGAGCAATTTTCACAACTTTATAGGTTTCAAAGTGCTTTACAGCCAATTAAATACTTCTGAACTATAGACACCGTTGTAAGATATAAACAAAGTAAATGTGCCTGATATCGCTGAATCTGGCTTGTTTTTGCATAGTATCTTCCATACTATGTCGAAATGTATCAGTTCAATGTTTCATTTTGCTTGCAAGCTCAAACAACATTCTTGTCCTGTAATCTAACATGAAAGGGCTCAGTTAACAGCTGCAGTCTTATTGTTGAGAATTGTCTGATAAAGATGAGGTGTAAGCAAATATTTGTAGACTTGTACAGTTTGGTGTGGGAATAATTTTATTTTGTCTTTTTGTCTATATATTTGAACATTTGTTCAGTGCACCATTGGAAAGATATAATTCAGTGTTTAATGATTTAATTATGCTCAACTTTAAAAATAATTGCAATACTTTTCAAATTTCCTGAGATGTAGTTCTCAGTAAAAGCACCAAGCAGAAGCTTGGCTCATCAGCAGAGAAGGTTAAGAGGATAAGTCAGCCAGCCTCCTCAGATTTATCAGGATAGTGACGTGGGCCAGGCATGATGTATGCTTGTTTTAAAAGGAAGGCTTGCACAAAAAAGTCTTGTGTCTCAGCTTTTTATGTAGATTTAGATTCCTTTTGAAGTGCAGTCATACTAATGATTGTAGGCAGAAGTGACTGTCATTTTTGTGCACACCAAGATACCATAAACAGGAATGCAATTATTTCAGGTCTCTCTTGGGGTTGGTTGAAAAATGAATATATAACAGAATATGCCCCACTCTCTTTGATTCTTCCCTTTAATAAATTGGAACTGTGAGACACCGTTTGATGTCTCCTTTGCAGAACTGAACTTTGAGCGTTGGTCCAGTTGATGTTGAACTGGCTTAAATGTCTAGTCTAGATTGTGTATGCTCAAGTTCTTTTGACTAAAGGCAAGAATGTTATTGAGCTGAACTGATAGTAAGAAATGTAACTTACAGTTGATAATGTTCCTGAATTTTAACAAAATGCTGGAAATACTCTTCAGATTCGGAGCAAGTGTGGAGGGAGGAATGGATATTTTAATGTTTTACTTAACTAATCTTTCATCAGTTGGAGCCAGACGTTTCAACCCGAAACGTTCACTTTCCTGCTGCTCAGATGCTGTCTGACCTGTTGTGATTTTGTTGCCTCACACCTATAGATCCTAGATGAGCCCAGTTCTCAACCTCTCTTTCCAACTTCATTGCAAGCATTCCAGCTCAGTCTCCTCCTCCTTATCTAGCCTTGTGTGCTTGGCCCAAAAGGAACAACTGAATTTAAGATTCTGTACTGTAATATTTGAGAAATGAGCATGGAATGTCTTCCCAGTGTCCTAGCTAAAATGTATCCCTCCATCAGAATCACAAAGGGATTATCTGGTCATTTTACCCCAATGTTTATATGGACCTAGCTGTGTGCAAATTGGCTGCTGTCTTTCAATGCATTACAGTCAGGATTGTACTTGAAAAGGTACTGTAAAGTTTGACTGTCGAGTGCTTTGTGATGACGTGAGAAGAACCTGCTTAACTAACGTCTTTATTTCAAAACTGAACATAGATGTGCAGTTTCTACTCAACTGCTCTTATTGGCTTTCCCAGCTAAGATAGTGTAATGTCCAGATTGCCCTCCATTGCAATCTCTTGTTTTGGGTGCAGGCTTTCCTTTGTCTGTGCCTACAGCAGTTAAAGGAGGGAGTAGCTGTGATCTTTTGATTGAATATGAAATGTAAAAAGTGGTTCACTCTGCTTGCCACATGCAAGCAATTCCTTACCTTAAAGCTTTTCATGTTTCAAAGGATGGGTACTTTGGTATGTCTGAACCGGGGTGCTGGCAATCTAGGAGCCTTTTTCAGGGGTTGCTAAACAATTTTTTTAACCTTGTCTGAAAAGCTCATGTCATAGAGTCATGCAGCAGGGAAACAGACCCTTCAATCCAACTCACATGCACTGACCAGATATCCTAACCTGGGCCAGCATTTGGTCCATATCTATTTAAACCTTTCCTATTCATATACCCATCCAGATGCCTTTCAAATGTTGTAATCGTACCTGCTGCCGCCACCTCCTCTGGCAGCTTATTTCCAACCTCTGCATGGAAACAGTTGCCCCTGCAGTCCCCTTTAAATCTTTTTCCTCTCTGTATTTTAAAATTGGCCCCACCATTGTCCTGTACAGCCTCAACATGAAGTCCAAACACCTATATTCAATATTCTGACCAATGAAGGCAATAATCTCAAACACTGTCTTCAACACCCTGTCTTCCTGTGATTCCACTTTGAAGGAATTATGTACTTGTATCCTAGGTCTCTTTGTTCGGCAACACTGTCCAGGGCCCTACCAATAACTGCACAAATCCTGCTATGGTTTGCCTTACCAGAATGCAACATCTCACATTTATCTAAATTAAACTCCATTTGCCACTCCTTGGCCCATTGGCCCATCTGGTCAAGGTCTCCTTGAATTAAAAAAAAACTCGTTTTTCAGCAATTTAAATAATTTTGTAACAGTCTTAAAATTAATGTGTTACTTAAGGCTGGGCTAAAGTGGTTTTAGTGTTCAGGTTGTATTTAATTGCTGCAAGTTTATGTTCCTCCAGTTCTGCGTACCTGCAGTGCACCTGTGTTTTAATAGTAAATTATTAACACAAGGAATTCACCTTCAGTCTGCATACTGAAACTGTTTTGGATTGGAGTTAATGGTGTTGTTTTGTGTAGCTGGAAACAGTGAAGATTTAACATTCTGAGGAAGGGTCACCGGACTTGAAATTTAAGTGATTTTTTTTTTTTCTTCACAGATGCTGCCAGACCTGCTGAGCTTTTCCAGCAACTTCTTTTTTTGTTCAAGATTTAACATTCACTCACTCCTTTACAGCTGTTGTTGTCTTGTGGCGATGCAGCCAGCTTCAGTGCTGGGGTATTGTATGGGACTGTGCAAGCAATAGCACTCTGAAACTTCTTTGCAAGTATTGAAACAAGCAGGATATAAGAGAAGGATATGTTTAAAGAGGAAATTCTATTATTTAGCGTGTAGCTTGGTGTCAGTGGCTAAGTAAATGAGATGAATGACAAAATGTAGGAGTTGGAGAAATGGTTGATTTGTGAGAGGGTATGTGATGCTAAAATATTAAGTATAAAGGAGGCTTAAGTGATCATGACTGTGCAAATAAGATCCAGGTCATTGCAGGAGATTTGGTTTGGGTGGCACGTGATCGGAGAGTCAACATAGCTGTCATGACTTAACAGGGCAGTGTGCCAAAAATGGTGCTGCACCGTCACAAAATGTATGAAATCCAATTAGACTATCAAGATGACCATTTTACCTGACTGCTGCTTGGGGCAAAAGCAATTCACACTAGGTTTCATAATTCACAGTGAATAACTCTTTATTGTGACATGCTTAACTTTTTTAGCAAATGGCAGAGATTCCTGACTGCCTACTACTGTAACTTAAATTAGACCTCTTTTAACTCCAAGTACACAAATGCATTTGGTCAAAAAAGACCGGGTTTGATAAAGAAAATAAAAACACCCTTCTAAAAACTGCAAGTCTACCTCTCAGGTGGGTTAAATTGTCTGGAAATAGTCATTCTTCACTTTGATAGTTGATCTGTGGACCCAGGTCAATTCTTGTTAGAATCCTTTTGTTTAAGCTGCCTTGAATTTTGACTTTTC